AATATAATATCTTGTAAATAGTTGTAATTTATTCATATTTCTGTGTTTTCCGCTTTGTATGTCATTGCTCTGAAGATGTCTTAAGTTAAAGACGAAACGTTAGCTTTCTAATAAATATTTTAAACTATATTTTTGTTATGGCTCTTTTACGTATTTTATGCTGCAGGGCATTAATATTTATCTTAAGATAACTATGTACCTGACATTCAGTATCTTGATTCCATGGCCGGATTTTGAGGGGAGGTGCGCACCTCCCCTGAGATCGTTTTGCACCTCCCCTGAGAATTTTTGCACCTCCCCTGAAAAGTCATGCACCTTCCCTTGGGAAAGTTTCAATGATAGATCAAAGTGAAAATTTGACCTTTTTTGGTTGCTTAGGGTCTACACTTCATAAGAAAGTTTTTTTTGTAAAATTGAAACAGTAATAGCCATTCATTTCTATGTCAAGTACCCTTTTAATGCAATGTTTTGAAATAAACTTTGTAGTAATTGTAATGAAGGCAAAATTGGATGAGTTGTATACAGTCATAATTCATTAATACACTGATACATATGCACACTATATGCATGCGTCACGTCGTTGACTTTGACCCGTTCTAAGCACTAACTTTCCATGGGGGTCGTGAGCTAGACCGCTACACCTCCCTTAAAGTTTTTTCCACCTTTTTTTTCCACCCCTTTTTTGCACCAAAGTCCAGCCTTGCTTGATTCGTAAAAGTAGTGCTTTCAAGCCTTTCATATCATTTGATGCTTTTGGAACAGTATAATTTACCATATGCAATTTAGTATTCTGATTAGTGATGATGTGATGGCAATTACCATAGATTCAGTTTAAGTATTATAATAACTAATTAGGGCCTATAAGTATTACATCATTTAATATATTTTTCTTTAGTCAATAAAGAATAACATTTCTAACTCTGAACTTTGTACTGAACCAGACAAAATTACGTGTACCCAAAAGGTAAAAATTTACATACAGTGATAGTCTCATTACATATTACAGTAATCTAGTTGTGATCTCATTATGACGTAGTCGAATTATGGTGAAATTTGTATGACATGATGACTTAAGTCGTGTTTACACTAGCAGCCTTGGCCTACATTTTGACAGTGTAAACAGACTTTGGCCTAGCCTTGGCTTGATCTAGGCCAGGAAATCTGGGCTCACTACAACCGATGGCCTAGGCCTGGCCTAGGCTTGTGGAAATGTAAACACTTTCGGCCCTGGCCTGGGCCTTATTTTCATGGCAACGTGTGTCCACAGTGAGAGATTGGCGGACAACCAGCGGACAACGTCACAACACATAAAAATACACAAAACTAATAACAAAATTCTAGGCCAAAGTGAGCCTGTCTTAAAAAAATAGTGTAATGGTGTAAACGCTCCACATTTACCTTGGCCTGGCCAAGTAAAAGAAAAGGCTTGTAGTGTAAACACGACTTTAGTTAGTTAGTTTCGTCATGGTGTACTGTATACGACAATCGACATGGTTTCATTTTAATCTCAGTCTATTAACCATGTTTTAACGAGGTCTAATTTATACCTAAATGTACATGCAAGTTGCATTATGACCTCAGTAGTATAATGTACACCGATCGATGTGATAAGTATAGGTTATGATGGGATTCATGGTTATAAGTTTAGTTATCACATATTTATATTGTACCCCGTTAATTACCTCCAATCTCATCCCAGCAATTATATCGGTTTTATTATTCGGTTATATTTATAGGCTGAACTGATTATCAGCAAACATGTTGAACGTCGTAAACAAGAACGAATCGGTGATCCTGGTATGTTTTGTCTGTAATAATTTTGGTTGTACAGTATCCAGAAAAAATGCATTGAAACATTTTTTATGTATATACATATCTTTTGATTGAAGCGATGAGACATGACATAAAGTACCAAAATAACGCGTTATTGTCAATGTATGATTTTAATCGATCGTATATTCAATTATTTAGAACGGTACGGTATAAAACCATCACTGGGGGAACGAAGCATACGGAAACTACCGGCCTCCGACACTGCACAAAGTTACCTAACTAACGTTACAGATGAAACTACTCAGAATTTTGACAGATTACAACTAACGACTGCAGAAACTGAAGGTCGGTATATTTAGCAACCATGATCACTAAATCTGGTGTTTTGTATAATGAAGGACAATGTAGGACCAGTTTAGTTGATGATAGTATAAGAACACTGTACTCTCATGGATTGTAAAATAACTGAATAGAAAACTTCCTGACGTCAGCCTAAACCTAGTTGCAATCTGTGACGCCACGTGTATTGCCAAAGTTCTCAGCATTTTTGTTGTTTCGCTATATTTTCCGCTTTAAAAGAGTAATATTGAAGCATAAACTGGTCTAATTGTTTTAAAAACATGCCTAAGCCACGACAAAGTATTCAAGGTAAATGTTTTTCGTCTTTGTTTTGTATTTTTTTACATTTGTAGCTACGAAATTGGCGTCGCCAATTTTTACGAAATTTGCGATGCATTTTTCACTGTTTAGTGCTTGAAATATTTGCTAAAATTGACCGGGAATACTTAGAGATTTCATCGTAGAATGGCCTAGTTATATTTATTTGCTCTTTGACTAAAATGTTTAGCTGTATTATCGCTAAACATGCCGTTTTTGAGAATTTGGTTTACAACTAGGTTTCAACGCCATCATCCCATTGAAAATATTAGGTCACGTCAGCTAGTTTCCTATCCATGTATTTTATCATCTATGGTACTATACATATGAGATTGGAAGGGGCATGAAATGATGGTTTTATAAAGAAAGCGTGTATATCACGTATTGAGTCACAACCTAGCCTGTGTTCCAGTCCACTACACCACAGAGAAGAGATATACAGAGAGGTTCACTATTTTATTAAATTTTGCCCATGCAGAGGAAAAAACTATACATATTATAGAAGTATTCATGTTTTTTATGCAAGAGTTATATTTTGAGGCATTTATATCATTCGCTGCTTTGTTTTTTATACATGAGCATCTGAAATTCCCAGCCAGTGCTTTTCACGATTTTAATAAGGAGTAAATAGGGAAAAAAACAAACTTTTGCAAAATAAAATGTTATGAAATCAATAAAAATTATCGCTTACCGTTATTCTACAATAATTTATTGGACAAAATTTCCATGGGTATCTCATTTTTTTTTAAAAAAAAGCGATTTTCACCTTTCGAACGGCGTTTTCCCTAATCTTTTGCTATGAAATTTCAGCGACGGCACTGCTGGACGATTTTGCGTGGTGCGTGGAACGCGTGACACAAAAATTCAGGTTATCGAGTGTCAGTTTCCTCTCTGTATATCTCTTCTCTGTGACTACACACACACACTGCCTCTTCCGCAGGACCTCGTTGCGTCATGGGAAGGTCACACACAATCTGGCGAGGGCCTGCGGAATCTTGTAAAAAAATGGCGCCGGCGTCACGTCAGCAAGTAAATTTATACATTATCTTGAATAAACATGCTATAAAAAAGCGGCGTGAAACCTGTAAATTAAAATGGCGACTCTAAGGACGCGGAAGGAAGCATTTTTTAACGATAAGGTTTGTTGTCCACACCAACGCTGCACGAATAAAACTGCCTTCTTTAACGAAGCAGGTTTAGAACAACATTTATTCATTTTACAAGATTCCGCAGGCCCTCTCGAAATCGTGACCTTCCCATGACACAACGAGGGCCTGCGGAGGAGGCAGACACACACAACGGTGTAGTGGACTGGAACACAGGCTAGTCACAACCGAGAAACACTTCCCATGTAATAAGCTTTCGTAGGTGTGGATGTAACTACCTGAAAAATATAATGTAGTAACTCCAGACGAAGGGCCTTCGCTCGAAACGTCAAAATTCTCCTTATTTTTAGGTAGTTCCATCCCCAACGAAAGCTTGTCTATATTATTGGCACTACCTACACTGTCACTTGCAAAGGCAGTTCAATCTTCATGAACGATTTTCTCCTATTTCTGTAGGCGTATCGTCACTTCAAAGCGATCAGTTAAGAGAAGTTAACGTTGAACAACACGAGAAACATTTCCCGCAATTCTCTGGAATGAACAATGCCAATACTGGAATTTATTCATTTTAAATAATAATGTAAATACTTGACGGTGGTGTAAATACTTCTACTGTAAAATTAGCTATTGTATTACATACCAAGCCTTTGAGCTATAGTGTTTTATGTAATAGTTTTCAAACACGAGACAGAGGACGTTAACGGGATTTCAAAGTTCGAGAGTGTTTTGAAAAGGCGAGCCTTATTAATGCATGCGTACTTTTTTGAAATCCCGGTAAAGTCAGCGAAGTCGAGTATTTGAACTGACTTCTCATTTCTCAAACGTTCAACAAAGTATACTACTGTACTAGTATTTATGTAAATTCTGAATTCAAAATACCAGTACTTTAGAAAGTGTCCTGCAGGACGTTTTCCTCTAGTTTCAAAACATTTAAAGATTGATTTCTTTTGTTTTGGTTCATGAATTATTGAGTTTGAGAAATGAAAAGTAATCAAATGAATAGCAACTTGTCAATTTTTCTAGGTGGAAAGGCTTGTGCCTTGAGATAACGGTCATGCAAATGCTACGAATTGTGTCATTTTATTTAGTAATTTTCACTGATGTCTGTATTTTTGACTATATGCATGATCATCGATAAAAATTGAAAATGTTCTGATGGCTTCGAAACGTTGTTCCTTAATTTAATGAAACTTTTATCGCTTACATTTGTTTCAAAATCGATTTGAAGACGTTTACTGACAAAGATACGATAAAAATTGCCAAACAAAATCGGATGCTATCCCTACCTACCTCTCGACTCTAATATCCCAAAATGACATATGTACACAACATTAGCATGCATAAAGTTGTGATTAGGATTGAGGTGAGCTAGATTAGGTTTATAGGATTAAGGGTTAAGTTTAGGGTTAATATTAGCTTTAATATTTGATTTATCATTGGGGTTAAGATTACTGTAATGGTACCTTTTCGCCTTATTTATGTTGGAATGTTATTAATATTTCGCCCGTTCCGAACTTTCTTGAATTGAATCTCTAGTCTGTATTCATTTACAAGCATAGCGAACCAGAGGAGTGTTAAAAATTCAGTATAATATATATCTAATCATATTTTACAACTATACAACAAAGTGTTTGTTTACATTACGGACTTTACATGGCCTTTAAAGTTTAATTAGTTCATATTTAGGGGCCGATTTCATGGAGAACTTTCAACCCCGGGGTTGAACTCAGCCCTGGGTTGAAAATTTTGTCATGTAATCGCACGTTTGATTTTGATAGAGTTTTGTATTACAGACAGGGCTGAAATTTCAACCCAGTAAACAGGGCTGAGTTCAACCCCGGGGTTGAAAATGCTCCATGTAATCGGCCCCTTAAAGTTAAATAGTTAAGCTTATCAGATTGAAATTTGACAAAATGTTAATGACAAAAATGAAAGTTTTATGAAAGATGCTAGATGAAAACGACGGTAGAACCATTACTGGTAGAAACTAATCACAGACACGTCATTAAAACCTTTTTATTATTATATAGTTAAACCTCATCCCATCTGCACGTTGTAACCCAGTAAAATATTTGCATCTAACAACTTATTTTAGTAGGGCTGCTAAGACATCAATTTTAGGCAAATCGTTCAAATTGTGATCACATTCTGAAACTTGGCACAGATACTCATTAGGATATGGGGAATATGGAATGGAAGGACTGCCCAAAAGTTGAGCAGGGGAAAGTGCCTATTTCGGCCTTCAAAATGGCCGACATTCCTTATGCACCTTGAGGAAAATTATCTCATTTAGTCATCACATCTGTGAACAAATGAACACGCTTAGCAAAAGTACACGCAAGAGAAGGCTTGAAAAAGTTTTTCAACAATATTATATGTTGCATTGTCATGAAATTAAGGATATTTCAGAAAAACAGTAGTGCGCATGCGCAGTCACATTACCCTGAAATTTAAATGTTTTACTGCTTTTCCTGAGTATATTGTCTCCAGAATATATAATATAAAGAGTAAAGTGTCATATAACGCTTGCTATCTGTTGATGCATGCATGCTATTTATTTTGGCAGCAACAAAGATAGTATTTTTTAGTTGATAATATTATCAAAGATAGTATTAGTTGGACTCCTTCTTCAGATTACCAAATCAAAAACAGTAACCTTTCAAAACAGTTTTTATATCAGAGCATGCAGAACGTGGAACACTCTACCAATATCTTTAAGAAACTTAACTTTATTGTCTTCGTTTAAACGTTGTCTATTTAATTACTATTTTTTATTAACTTCTATTGTTTATAACCCAGAATTGCCGCACACATACAAGACTGTTTGTGTCAAATGTCACAAAGCCCGTCCTTTGGATTCACTCAGGGACACTTTGTGCTGCTAGTGCCCTTTCTTTATATTATGTGATGACTTTTTGTTGTTTTTTGTTGTGATGCACTATTTAGTGTTTAACTCTTTGTATACAATATTTCTATGTATTTTACAACTCACGCGGGGAACCCGTTATTGGAGCTTCGGCTCTGTGGGTGCGCCCTTCCTGTTTTTGGGTAAATTAAATAAATAAATAAATAAATAAAATATTTTAGCAACTTACACATACCTTAACTGTGATGACATTTTGCGAAATGTTGAAATTTTACGGTAGCTCTTGCCATAAAAGAGTCTTCGGCTTGTGTGGTCTTTTTGGTGAAAAATAAATTATGGTAACGCTCACAAATGCATGGGGACTTTGCCCACAAATATAAAGGAATTGCTATGTTTCAAAAGTAGGGGCTATATACTCATTTAAGACCAAATGCTTTACATATATTCAGGGGCGTAGGAAGCACCTGGAGTTTGGGGGGGCACCGGCTTGTAGGGGCACATTACTATCGGAAAGGGCACCTAAAAAATTTTTCCCGGAAATGTTGTCGACGGGGGGGGGGAGAAATTTCTCCTGAGGAAAATTTTCCGTCGTATCATACCGAAATTTATGTTTGTGACCTAATTTTTTAAAAAAAATTTGTAAATTTCCACACAAAAACGGCACCTATTGTTTTAATTTAGTATTTACAGCGACATTAGCTTCTACAAAAGGGGCACTTTTCCTCACAAAAAAGGGCACTTTTCAACACAAAAAGGGCACTTTTTATCACAAAAAAGGGCACTTTTAGTCCTTTAAAAAAATTTGGGGGGGCACGTGCCCCCCGTGCCCCCCCGCTTCCTACGCCCCTGCATATATTACCTTCCAACGTTGCTACTGACTCGTTCAAACACTTGACCAAAACGCGTGGACAGGAGTTCAGCAGCATGTTGGACATGGAGACATATACGTTTATCGGCTTCTTCGATGTTGCATGGCATCAACAATTCAAGATCTACAACCTGATTCGCCACTACTCTGTTTTCTAGAGACCCCAGGAATAGTCCACGTGTATCAATGCTTTCGCCTTATTTTCAAATGTCATCCTACCGTATATAAAGTATCATCTAAGGTCAGCTAATCGACCTGGTTTTTTGATAGATACTTTAAGGGCAGTTTAAAGTCTGGTACACGGTCAAACCGTGGTTCTGGTGTTAGGAGGCTCTGAAAGCAACGGGAGTATGCCAAACAATTAGTTGACGATTCTCAGATGCGACGAAAACAAAACGGAACTGTTTCCCTTCTTCGTTAAAATACTGATTGAAAGCATTGATACACGTGTACTATTCGTGGGGTCTCTAGACGGCAGGGTAGTGAGATCAGGATGTCGATCTTGAATTATTGATGCCGCGGATAAACGTACGTTTGTCCATGCACAACGTGTTGCTACATTTTCTCCACGCGTTTTGGTCAAGACTGTAGACAGTGATGTTGTTGTTGTTGCACTCAAAGCTTTCCACAAGATCCACGGCCTCCAAGAACTGTGGCTCAAGTTTGGAGTGGGAAGCATTTGAAGTACTTTCCAATCCACGTAATTACCACACCACTAGGACCTCAAGCCTCTTTGTGGTACCACATCATCGTTCAAAGGTAAAGACAAGAAATCATTGAGCGAAACATGGAAACAAATACCCAGCTTGACTCCAGTGTTTGAACGAGTAGTAACGTCCGAAGGTAATATATGTGAAGCAGACAGTGATCTTTTGGAACAGTTTGTTGCAGCTTTTTATTGCAGCACATTTGACGCCGAAAAGATCAACGATGCAAGGCGATACCTTTCCGCAAGCAAGGGAAAAATAATTGACAATATACCCCCAGCAACTGCAGTGGCGTAGCCAAAACGATAATGGGGGGGGGGCATATTCATATACTCGTGTTCACATACCATAAAAACAATTGATTTCAAAAGAAATTAATAAAGCAGAACACGAATATATGAATATGCCCGCCCCCCAATTATCGTTCTGGCTACGCCACTGAACAACTGCTGCATTGAACGAACACGTAAAACGATCTGCGTTACAAGCATGAAAGTGGTACAATTGTCCCGAAGCTGCAAGAGTAGCGCTGGAACCCACACACTGGGCTCCCGCCAGTCGATGCCCGACGTATCCTAAGTGACTAGTAAAGATCTGATTTGTTCTGGATGCACCAAATATGTGGTTGGTAGATGCAAATGCAATAAGAGTGTACGGAGCTGTGTGTTTGTCAAGCGAAATATTAGATAATGCCAAAACACCCATGCTTGGTTAAAAAGTAAAAAATTTCAATTTCGCATCGTTCACATTTGATCTTTAAATAAGTTACCTTTGAGACATTGCAATTCACTTATAATTGTGGGCAAAGTCCCATACGTTTGTGAGCGTTGCCGTGATTTATTTTTCACCAAAAAGACCACACAAGGCGAAGGTGTGTTTTTGATAGCAAGAGCTACCGTAACATTTAAACATTTTGCAAAATGTTATCACAGTTAAGATACATGTGTAAGTTGCTAAAATATTATCTTTGTTGCTGCCAAATAAACAGCATGCATTAACAGATAGCAAAATATATCCAGGAAAGCAGTAAAACATTCGAATTTCAAGGAGATGTGACTGCGCATGCGCACTAATGTTTTCCTGAAATATCCTTAATTTCATGACAGTGCAACATATAATATTGTGGAAAAACTTTCTCAAGCCTTCTCTGGCATGTATGTGTGCTAGGCTTGTCCATTTGTTCACAGATGTGATGATTAAGTGAGATAATTTTTCTCAAGGTGCATACAGAATGTCGGCCATTTTGAAGGCCGAAATAGGCACTTTCCCCTGCTCAAATTTTGGGCAGTCCTTCCATTCTATATTCCCCATATCCTAATGAGTATCTGTGCCAAGTTTCAGAATGTGATCACAATTTGAACGATTTTTTGTCTTAGCAGCCCTACTATTTGGATTGTACAGGGTTAGGTTAGGGGCGAAACTTTGGTATTACGGCTGGGGGTGAACTTGTTTTGCCCGATCAAAGGGCGTGGCCGACGTCGTTCCCGACGGACGAACATTTCAGTCGCTAATTAATATTTCTTTTCCCAAAATTGTTGGGGGAATTCCAGACAGCATTTTTCACTAACTTTCGAAATAATCACCGTAATTTGTAAAATTTTTGCAGTAATATTTTCGTAAATTTATCCTACAACTATTACTTTTCAATCCGAGAGACTCAAATATTTTCACAATCTCGTTCCCCGAGTCTGCGATGCTCTGGGATAATCCGTTGCCGGAAGCCAGGAATCCTGGCTAAGATCGAACTGTGCATTCCATATCAATGGCCAATCAGATTCCTCCCTGAAACGGATTATCCCAGAGCCTTCACGTTCCTTCCCGAGGATCGCAGGCTCGGGGAACGAGATTGATATTTTCAAAATTTGCCCGACGAAAACTTGCCCCACACCCCCACGGTCGTTTTGCCCCTGGTTAGGGTTGAGGTTGTTGGAAATGATAATTTATATGCTTTATTATATTAGTGACATAATTATTCTAGTCAAAGTTAAATTCATTTGGTTAAAAAGACATCGCGTGATTGCACGTGAAGAGTGTGGTCGGTAAAGTAATGGTAAATTAATATTTTGCATTTTTTCTTCCATTTTATTATTTTAAAATACTTTGAAAAGTACGTGAGACTGACATTTTAGTAGGGGTTCGGGTCAGTGTCGTATTATATCCATCAGAATTGACACAACCAATAATCTTATTGGCTTACAACGTGTGGATAGGCTGGTTAAACGCATATTATACAATGATGAATGTCGTTAATTAGTGGGACCGGTGTTTGCTGGTGCAACTAGTGGCGCCAGATTAGATATAAAACGTGTAAATGAAAGTATTATATTACGAATAAACCCGGGGCATCTTTCATGCATTGCTAACTGTTGAAACATCAGACGAAATTCACCAAATAACATTCTGAAAGAAATAAAATAGTTTTGTTACAGTCGGGACTTATTTACCGTATATTGGCAGCAACGGCCGGGTCGCGCACACAAGCTGAACATTTCATCCTTATATGCATATGAATCTTCGCCTCAGCCAGGTTTTATCATGCACGTCGTCTCAAATGAAGTCGTGCCTGATACGCCCTTCCGGAAAGTGTTTAGCCTTATCTTGTTGCAGGTAACACATTTACGAGATTGTACAGTTACCAATAGATTAACTAAAATTATACCTTTATATATAGCTAATTAGGTCATCAGCAACAAGATGAACGGCTCCAAATTGCTACAAAGCCGATCGAGATCTCAATCACTAAAATAAGTTCAACAGTATACTCTATATAGCCAAGGCTACGTACTTTTTGGAAGGGTGTATTGCTTAGATTTGTTATTTATTATGTTTAGAGCTTATAACGTGGAAAGTCAAACTGACAAGATTACAAAGAGTATTGTTTTGGGTATATTTTCCTTGACGTCGTAAAGTAAAGACCAGTAAAAATCAAGAATTAGTAAAAACCCCTGCATATGTAAACAAAGCCGAAGGGAGCAATTGAGCAAATAAGAAAATGTTTGACGGAAAGGTAAAAAACTGCATCGGTTGGCAAAGCGTATAGATTGCAGTGTTGCTTAGAACAAAGAAATGGAACAGGTGAAGTTTACCTGCTTCATTTCTTCCCTGTTTTTGGTAAAGACAAGCAAAATTATAGCTATAGAGTAGAGTATTGGTGAATACTTATACATGCACTTATATTCTATCTATATACGAGTTTCTTGAAACTGAATTTTCGGCTTCATACAAAGTCAGAAGCAAAATGTTAATCGTACAAATTAAAATTATGTGGTTTTTTTTATGTTTATATAGCCTGCGCTTGACCCCAGAACGACTCTCTAGCAGGTTTTTTTTTTGGGGGGGGGGGGGTTGTTTTGACTCTTCTGAGTTTAAACTGTTTACGTTGTCGAGTTTTTAATTTTTATTTTAAGTTTAATACTTTTGCATTTACTTAAAGAACATTTTGTCCCTCTTTTGTTTGGTTAGAAATCTTTATAAATTATTGTGAATTTATTTGGATTTTGTGCAGTGTAGTAGTGTACATATGTAATTATTTTGTTAATGAAGTGTATTGAAATGAAGTGTACATGGGAAATACAAGTGGACACGCATTAATAGTAATGACTACTAGATCTTTTTCATAATGACGTCAAACGCGGAAAAACATTAGCGATAATTCGCAAAGCCAATGATGTTACAAGAAATTGGCACGGTAACGACTTGCATTGCAAATTGTCGCTAAAAATTGTTCCGTGCCCGTGGGACATCACATAAATTGTTTTTCCACAATTGATATCATTAATTATAAAAAAGGTCTATTACTAACATTTTGATTGCCTTAATTAAACCGTACAGTACATATATAATGTACTGTTTAATAAACGACCAGGAGTATTTTATTAGGTTTAAAGCCACGAGCGCGCACGCGCGCGACTGGCTTTAGACTTAATAAAACACGACCTGCGAGTTTATTAAACGGCTTCAAACACGACTACAAATTCAATAGATATACTCTTATTAGTATTCTTTATATAAAGAATACTAATTAGGAGTGTTTTATCAGGTTTAAAGCCGCTGCACGTGACATATTATGGTTGACATGATTTGCCAATAAGCGTATGAATTATTAATGAGTGTTTGAAATATGTTTTAAAACAATACCTCGAATATGGGTTTCTCCTGGAAGCGTATCGAAATGTTAAAAATTTATAATAGATGAACGGGAGTAACAGGCCAGCAGCTCCACTATATAAAAATACATATAAAAATAAGTGAAAAAACGTTTTGGAGTTCAAATAAAAGCACGCTATTATAGTACGTATAAACATGCAACAATCTTTATAGGAAATACAACTACGAAGGCGGGAAGTTAGTAGCCAGCCAAACACGTCTAGTAATTTCCTTATTTTCCTAGTAATTTTCCGGAAGGGTGTATTATAGGATAGTAGAATAGACGATAATTTCCACCTGCAAGGCCCTTCAACATGCCTTACAGGATAGGAATTCTTTATTAACTCATACTGTATTAGTTTCTTGGTTATTATTTTTAATTTAATATCTTCGACATTGACATTGTTATCACGTAACAGTGCAATACTAAAATATGACAATTTGTTAAAAACATACCTTAATACCAAACCGACTGTCAATGGCATTATCATAATTTCTGTTGATGCAATAACACGTAATAACGCAATTTGATTGCTTTGAAGTTTATCTACACCATTTCTTATCCAGCTACACAAAGGCAGGAGTATATGTTTAAAAACAGGGGTTTTAAAGCCACGCTGGCTGGCCAAACTTAATGAATTGTATACATATAAACCGTATAAAAATTTGAATATATACTCCAGTGCAAGGGGGCCCCAAAATTTGCAAAAGGGGGCCCCGAAAGGTGTAATTAAAAAAATTATTTGGAACGTTTTTTATATAAGTCATGGTATGAGAGAAATTTTTTAGACCTTAATTTTACTGATATTGGTTCGAAAAAATGTGTTTTAGCCGTGATTTTACAAGTATTTGTCCGGAAAATTTTTTTTGAACCTTCATTTTACTGGTGTTTGTCTGGAAAAATGTTTTTTGGCCCAGGCCCCCAGTGTAGACATTACCTTACAAGTGACATTCCAAATACTCCGGCAGTACCTAAAATCTGTTTAGAAAGAAAGAATGCCATGCAGGTTAGGGTCAGGGATATACAATTGTATGCACATTGACATACTGTAAAACAATATTTAACAAATATAAAACATTTTCCGTGTTGATATACAGTTATATCAACACGAGCGGAAATTGGGAAAACGAGAAATTGTGTAGAAACACGACGCCCGGAGGGCGGAGTGTTTTCACACAATTTCTCGTTTTCCCAGTTTCCACGCGTGTTAATATATAATAACTGTAGTGTATATCAATACGGAAAAAATGTTTTATATTTTTTTTATAATACAGCACATTTATAAGAAATATAAAGAAAGAAATTTTCCGTGTTAATATTGAGTTCTATCAACACGGCTCTTAGCCAGTCAGCGTTCAGAATTTACAAATGCTATAAATAGTACTTAAAAAACTCATTAATAATTCAGGAGCAAAACACAAAGAAAAATCATAAGCGTGTCGTGGTTTTATATGTGATAAAAAATCATGTTAATTTACATAAACTTTAGCTTTGATTTTCTCGGTTTAGACAAGGTTTATTTTAAAAATTACTTCGCCAATGAACTCGTATAAGATGAGTCGTTTTTTAAGCTATTTAAAGCACTTGTAGTCGTGTTTTATCACATATAAAACACTCCGCTACGCGTCGTGTTTTATATGTGATAAAACACGACTACAAGTGCTTTAAATAGTACATATAATGTAAATAAATATTGTGTACGCGAAGATTTTCCAGAGGGTGTGCACCCAGCTCCATCATTTCCACCGAAGGTTCCAAAATATGAAATCTTTCATTTCCGTCTTAAATTTGTAACTTTAAACATCGTAAAGATAGACAGCTGTCCACATTTATGTCATGTTCGATAAATGAACTTACATCAAGTAATTTCTTGCTAAAGGATGAGGTATGGAGTAGAGCAAACATACCCAATGGAATAAGGGCAGCTATTTTCAAGTTGTTAAAGAAAACATCACGTTATGCTCAAAGATAATTTGAGGTATTAAATATCCTGTACATTCGGGTGTAAATCTTTTTATGGTATTTCAAACACAAAAAGTGTAAATTTATGTGCACAGGGGTATATATAGTATACACAGGTTGAGATTTCTATTTAAATTTCTAAACGTATGTAATAAAACATTGTGAGGAAAGCATCCAAAGTGTATCGACGTGAAAGTTATTGAAAAAGAGCTTCTGCTGGCACATTTTATAATTCTGACATTTTAGCAATATTTGGCTTGCAAATATTTAAATTAAGATACATTTTTGTGTAGTGCCAGATGTGATGGTAAAACCTTCATTAATAGTTTAGCAAGTTTGTAACCTGAGGGAAAACTCAGAAGTCTTTTCTGGGGACTACAAACTTGAGAACAATCTCAAAATAGATTCTTGCAGGCATATCTTGAATTTAATAAATTTTGCTTGCAAGTGCAAACAATATCAATGAGTCCTGAGGAAAAAAACTTATATTTTGGTGTGGGAAGGGTTTATCCTTGGAGGTGGCTTGGAGTATGTGCTAATATTTGGGATGGGCGCTAGAGGTGTGCATCGGATCGGATGTTTATAATCCGACAATTGCCTAATGTTTAAAATCCGATCAGATACGAAATCGTCTAATCCGAATCCGCTCCGAGTTTTGATAAAGAATACCAATCCGATCCGATCCGAAGAATTCTTTAATACAATAAATTTCTCATTCAAGTTGAAATATTTAACCAAATAAATATAAAAGCAAGAAATACATGTCAAGAAGCTGACAAAGTGACGTCCAATTGAAGTATCAAACGAATAATGCAGCGACAACTGTGATAATGCTTTGATAAATGCATGGATAATTAATTTTTGCAATAATGCGTGGATAATTAATTCATTTTATTTCGGATATCGAAGTCTGATCCGATCCGACTACGAAACAACTTTATCAATCCGATTCGATATGAACATTTTGGTTCCGAAATCCGAACGAATCCGATCAGATCGGATCGGATCGGATTTGCACACCTCTAATGGGCGCGTCTAATATACAGGAGTTATCAGATGAAATATATTAAAAAAAAGGATACCAGAAAGAGGGTAAGCACTATAAAGAAACATCAAACTATATATAAGATAATGACAACTGTCTTCTGAAAGCAATTCACCAAGATATTCTCTTGTAAAACGAACATTCTTAAAAAAAGAAAAATGATTACAATTTAATGCAAATTATATGCAAAACTTATAAAATGCAGGGTTCACAATAAAATTTGGAGTAGGAGGGATTTTGAAAGAAATAGGTGGCTATATGTGGTATAGCAGGTACCACTCGCCTATCTGGAGGGGATACAAGGGCATCTCTGTGAAATTTAAACCCTCTGAAATGGCATTTCCAGTCATTTTGGAGATTTAAGTTTTCTAATTTTATCCAAATATTACATAATAACACTATTGCATAAAATTTATGTTAGAAAAGCAAGAGACATACTTTTCCCTTAAGTTTGATCTTAGTGCTAAGGAGGAAATATTTTGCGTTGTAATATCAATTGTCTACGCCATGGATAGTTTATGCCTTATACAGTCATATACATTGTAATATGTACATTTACAGCATATCTTAAAAAATATACGTAGTTTATAAACATGTCTTAAAAGCATTGTGCGTTCAACACCTGATATATTTAAAAGCATTACCATCAATTATAATTGGAAAAAAATGATAACATGGATAAAATGATAAGTTAAAAATTTTAATAAATTTATTTCTCTACAGTAAAATAATTTAAAGATTCACAGATTGTGTCTTTATTAAGTTAAAGTTTAAACATTTTTAACGAACCTACCGGTAATCTTTGATGAAGACGCAATGCTGAAACAGCAGCGTTACATATCAGTGCTCTTCTATAACATGTGTAACTTGGAAATGGACTGAATTAAAGAAAAGTGCACACATTTGTGGTTATATTGTGGCTTAATTATATTGTTCATAATAATTATGTATGTGCCTTTATTGATATTTTCCTGTTTTTATAGTGATTGACAATTGTGCCACAATTGTAAAATACACACTATTCATGAAAGTCACAGACTCAACTCTGATATGAATACCTTATGTACGTAGTTGCTCAAAATGAAGCTCAAAATGAAAATGAAGCTGTTACTCTAAATGAATACCTTATGTACGTATAGTTGCTTTCACAATTTTGTAATCAATTAGCTTTTGTCAATTATCTCATATGCAGTTTGTACATGAGGGGAGAGCAATTGTGTGTTTTGATGTTACGTACTCATGCAGGTGAATATATGTTTCTGATGTTACCCTGAGTATGTGACAAGTTTGCCTGACCACGGTGTGAATCAAACCCACAACCTTTGGGATACTATAGTCCACATTGGTATCAAAGGTGCTAGACTTAGTTCCGAAATACCACACACTCAATCAAACCGACTAAACCTCGTAGCTGAGTGGGCAGAGCATTGAACTAGCTAGTATCCCAAAGGTTGCAGGTTCGATTCCCACCATGGTCAGGCAAACTTTTCAACCTGCCCGGTGTGGATACACACTCAGAATAACATCAGAAACATCAAGAGAGTAATCATATTAAGCAGCGTTGTAACAAGTCGAGTCATTGACAATAAATCACAATAATTTTGATGAAAAGTTTTCATATTGGACTCGAGTTGAGTCGCTGAAAATAGCGACTCGAGTCCAATATGAAAACTTTTCATCAAAATTATTGTCAGTGATTTATTGCTTGGGAAGAACAATTAATGAGTCCAGTTGCAAGTTATGCTAGTTGTATGTAGTATGTACACTCGATCAGCAGGCATGATGAGACTATCTCATGTGGTCATACTTAATATTGACTAGAACTGTGCATGATATTGCATGGTACAGCCAGCTAGCTGCCCAGATACTGTTATTAAATTACCAAAGTAATTAGCTTAAGGTAAATTTGCATGATCACTAATTTCAGACTACAAGCTAGGCCGGGTAGCAAACCATTACAGAAAGCATGGGGTGGACTTGATCAAATTCCCTGACTCAAGTCAAGTTTAGCTATTGACTCGACTCGACTTAAGTGAAGCCGCTGACTCGACTCGATCAGAGAGATAGATAGAGATATGGTAGATAGTTTAATAGAATTTTACATCGCAGCCCACAATGGCTAAATTGTGTAAAAATTTACAAATTATATATGTCACAAATACATACACACATATACTGCATATAAAACGTTAAAAAGCAAATGACACTGAAACTGAAATGAGAAACTGAAATGAGAAACTGAAATGACTTGACTCGACCTTTGAGTGACTCGACTCGTGACTCGATTCGTGACTTGTTACAACACTGATATTAAGTAATTAAGACTGGAATATCATAAAGTACCTGATTATGGGTATCAAATACCATATGACATTTATTACTGTGAATATTCTTGTTATCCATAATAAAGAATCAATTTTGTTTGCCACAATGAATGCCTGTAAATTTTATCACAATATAATTAGACAGTCTCAAATTTATATTTTTCGTTTTATTAAAAAATTTTGAGCATATGCAGATGCCCATTTTTGAAACACAATTAACCTAGCTGCTATAATTACAATTAACCTGAGTATACTGAGGTACAACAGCTATACATAGAGTACTTCGGTTTTAACGGTTTATTCAAAACACTGGTTAGATATTATAGTTAAAATTATCAGATTAATTTTCAAAGAACAATGAGGTATTTTACCCTACTCTGGCCAAAAAACGTTCCGAAAATAATTGTCAATATCAGGTTGTCTCCCAGTTTGCAAAGTATAGGGCAAAGTGGCAAACCACGTATATATATAAACATAAAGTTTCAAGAAGAGTTTCTGGGGGTGGTCGGTGGGGGATATTTGCAATGTTCTCCTCAAAACAACATCTGATCTGAACTTAAAACTTTAGGTATATACAAAATAAATTACTAAAACTATTTTATGAGTTTTCAGAGCTAAATGTATGTCATGATTGTTGTACTTCAATGTCACAACAAATGGCATTGGTGAGGTGACATTGGTCGAATTGTAGAGTTTTAATTCTACTTTTACTACCTTGACAGCACCCCAGTTTGAATTTGGCGGTATCTCCTGATTTTCACCAGTATTTTCGTCAGGAGTTTCCATTACGTTTCTCCACAAATATCAGATTCAGAACCTCGAAAATATATTTATAAACCACCTTGTGCTTTCACTCATTCACTGTAAACACCTGCAAAAACTCAGTACTTCATGTACGCATATCAACATGCCCATTATGTAATTGTGTTGGGAAGTTCATTTTTTGCAGCTGAAGGGCCGTTGTGCGAAAAAGTGCTTAGAAAAGCAATTTCGTGGCAACACCCTAGGGAATAGATTTTCAGTGGTTCAATGCATGCATAGTACCATAGATGCTCAATTACCACAAAAAGTTCCCAAGCAAAAACTTGCCAAACACCGAGAAAATGGGTGCATGATCAGTGATTATCCTCTATTAAATTGTATTACAGCAAGAAAATGTGAAATTTTGTATTCAATTACAACAAAAATGCGTTTTTTTATATCTCAAATTGTTTTCGAGTTATGCGCTGTCAAAAACGCGTTTTTGACCTAGTCCTTATTGCGACATTTTGGTCCAATTTTCACATTTAAAACAGCAATAACTCAAAGACTATTTGAAGGATCAAAAAACTGTTTAAAAGTCTTATATGCGGTTTTTTGTAAGTTTTCTGATGATGCAAGTAATTTTTATTGTAATTGAATACAAAATTTCACATTTTCTTGCTGTAATACAATTTAATAGAGGATAATCACATAATCACTGATCATCAATTTTCTCGGTGTTTGGCAAGTTTTTTGCTTGGGAACTTTTTTTGGTAATCAAGCATCTATGGTACTATACATTGAACAACTGAAATCTATTCCCCAGGGGGTTGCCACGAAGCGAAATAATATTGGCCAACGGCCCACAAAGTTGTCATTGAAACATCAGTAAAATGACTTCAGAATCCAGGAAAACTAATCTTAGAGATCTCCTCCAGCCAACCTGTCAACTGAAACTTGGCGTCTCTAATTTGGATTTATATATCCACTTTGGCAGTTTTCTTTCAGATATTTATTATTTTATGACTAGAAAAATCAGGGGTGGAAAAAGTAACAAAACATTTTTTTGAGTTCCCAGAAAATATTTCCCCAAGAAAAAAAAAAACGATAATTATAAAAATTATGATAAAAGGAGAAATTCAGAGGAAAAATTCTAACCAATAGAAATAATGTTACCTACACTCTGTAGGTATGACTTCAGAAAAGTAATAATTATTATAAGTGCATCTATCTTAATAGTGCAATATTGTATAAATGTATTGACTATAGACAGTGGCGTAAATGGAGCCAGGAGGGTGTCCAGGTGTCAAGAGACGGGGCCCCAGGCAAAAATGACCACAACATTTTTGCTAGAACATTGGGCAAATTGCCCCGAGCTTCAATTATAGAAGGCCCGAAAACTTGCAACGGGTGGCCCCGAAAAGCAGGAATTAGTGAAATTTGGATCCCTTTTTGGTAGACATCAGACATGGATGGGGGGAAATTTTTGTGATTGTTTTTTTTTCAATTGTCATAGTCCAGAAATTTGTTTTGAACCCCTTTTTTCAATGAATATGGTTCGAAAATTTTTTCTCCCCCCGCGTTTTTTTTAATAGGGTCCCAACTTAAAAATTTGACGGGGGGCCTCCGGAGGTTGCGTTACGCCACTGACTATCGGAGTGATGTAACAAATTTTGTATTGCATCTGATTTTCAAAATTTTCTGGGGAGCATGGACCCTAGTAGTGCCCTTTTTAGCATTTCCATTTGTCTATTTACCTTTGGATCAGACCCCTGATAAATGTTATCTAAATTAGTTTTATGTTATATTCTTAAATGTATTATTACACGTAAGATTCTCAGTTCAATGAAATTGCACTGTTATTTTCTGTTATACAAACACAGTATGACATTCAGTTTGACAGCATCACATAGCTACTGTGTCCGAGTGTTAATTTCCTTGATTATTTGCAGAAAATTTTCAACCTTGCGGTCCCAGAAAGTTAATTTTTTCCATCCGGTCCTGCCCCTTGATATATGATGATGGCTGCATGATTAACGTATTTAGAAGAAGTCCCAGTAATAAATATATATGATTGACCATATTCGTAATATATACAAGTTGAAAGCACTCCTGTTCGCGTTTTAATTGGCTTAAAAAACGACCCATCTGATGAGTTCATTGGCGAAGTAATTTTAAAACTAAACGTTGTCTAAGCCGAGAAAATCAAAGAGCAACTACTACCTTCCACGCCCACGTACGAATTGGGGAAAACAGCAATTCACTTATCACTCAGTATCGGAATGGAACTCATTACCTATTGAAGTGAAACAATCTACTAATCTTAATCTCTTTAAATCCAAACTAAAACAATTTATCTAATTAAGTTGAACAATTTATCTAATTAAGTTGAGTTTTTTTTTCTAACTATGAAGTATAACTATATATAATCCACTTGTAAATATTTTATAGTTTTTAAATAAGCATAGTATAGTTTACCATGTATAATATAGATATTTATTTTTTTTCTTGCGGTCCGAAGTCATATTTTACGCTTTTCTGCAATCTGATTGGCTACGTATGAGCCCGTATGAGCCCATACGGACCGCGCGAGATTTAAAGCGTAGAGCCAATGTTTATTTTTTATTTTTCAAAATTTAAAGACGAGTTTAAAGGCTACTTTTTAAAACATTAAAATGTTTGCAGACGATGAAAAACACAGTGAAAACGAATTTTACTATCTCACAAAAGATATTTCTCTTCCCGATAGCATTGATAGAAACGACTTTTATTTGGCAGCTTCATTCGCGTGCGGGAGAAGTGATTGGGGAAATCCAGAGGAGGAATTAAAAAAAAATAAAAATATTATTTACCGGTATGGTCGGTCCGTATAGAGAAATATTTCTCTCGGTCTTAAAAACGTCCCTCGGCCTTCGGCCTCGGGCCGTTTTTAAGACCTCGAGAAATATTTCTCTATACGGACCTCCAATCCGGTAAATAACATATATTTATTATTATTATTATTATTATTATTAGCTAAAGTTTATGTAAATAAACATATTTTTTTATCTCATATAAAACCACCGACAGGCAGTTATTTCTTTTGTATTTTCCTCATGAATTATTAATGTATTTTTAAATATATTTATTAGACCTAACAAGGAACAGCTGCGAAAAATGCAACTTTAGGTCCCTGGCAGAAATCGAACTTTATCCTGTCATAATCTAAGATGTATAACCAGGGGCGGCGCTAAAGGGGGAGTGTGGGGTAGGGGTGGTAACTCCCCAGGTCGTGTGGTAGTCGATAAAATGGTGTATCTAAGTTAATTTGTCTTCTTAGTCGGCAAAACTATTTTATAGGATTTTACAGGAAAAAAGAATTTGATTGAAACAGATTAAAAATTGCATGTAGCTAAAATTTTGAGAAACAGTTTACGACATTTACGAAATATGAAGGAAAAAATAAACGACGGTACAAATGAAATGAGAAAGCAAATGTGCGGAATTTTACAATGCGAGCCTCCCCCTCCCCTCCCCTCCCCTCCCCTCCCCTCCCCCGTGGGAAAAGAAATATTAATTAATTAGTAATTGAAATGGTTCGGTAAATGGTTGTTTCTTTCAGATAATCACAACAGCTTTGCAGAAAGCTGATAATTGCTTCAAAATTCGGGTGACGCAGAACATTTTCGGGCCAACAGACCTCAGACCCCCCCTCCCCAGTTGAGATAGGTCGCGTACGCCTATGCTTGGTGCCTTAATCCAATTTGACATGATCCGCACAAAATTTTGCGTTAATCCATCAGACGTACTAGAAGTGGATGTTTCAACAGCACTTTTAATTTTTTTCAGTTGTTAGGAAATCAGTAAACAGTATTGACCACTGATCTATATACAGTAACACTTAAATATGTGGTCAAGTCTGTTCTGCGCATGTGCTATCTGAGGGCCCTCTGATGAAAACAATACCTAAATTTCGCGTTGTTTTGACATCTATTTATTTATTTATTTTATTTACCCAAAAACAGGAAGGGCGCACCCACAGAGCCGAAGCTCCAATAACGGGTTCCCCTTGTAAAATACATATAAATATTGTATACAAAGAGTAAATAGTGCATCACAACAAAAAAACAACAAAAGTCATCACATAATATAAAGAAAGGGCACTACGCACTAGCAGCACAAAGTGTCACTGAGTGAATCCAAAGGACGGGCTTTGTGACATTTGACACAAACAGTCTTGTATGTGTGCCGCAATTCTGGGTTATAAACATTAGAAGTTAATAAAAAATAGTAATTAAATAGACAACGTTTGAACGAAGACAATAAAGTTAAGTTTCTTGAAGAAATTGGTGTTCCACGTTCTGCATGCTCTGATATAAAAACTGTTTTGAATGGTTACTGTTTTTGATTTGGTAATCTGAAGAAGGAGTCCTGATGTAGAGCTAGAGCGTCTGGTTACACGATTTGGTGAATTTAGTGTCACATTTTTGTCGAAATTTTCATAAGACATTTGAATAGATAAACAAGATCCAGGTATTCATGCCAGTAGGTGATTGGAAGAATGTTGAGCTTAGCAACTCTTTTAGGGTACTTAAAAAACTCATTAATAATTCAGGAGCAAAACACAAAGAAAAATCATAAGCGTGTCGTGGTTTTATATGTGATAAAAAATCATGTTAATTTACATAAACTTTAGCTTTGATTTTCTCGGTTTAGATTAGATTTTCTCGGTTTACTTCGCCAATGAACTCGTATAAGATGAGTCGTTTTTTAAGCTATTTAAAGCACTTGTAGTCGTGTTTTATCACATATAAAACACTCCGCTACGCGTCGTGTTTTATATGTGATAAAACACTTCTACGCGTGCTTTAAATAGTACATGAAATATCTGTTTGAGATAAAATAAACTTCGTGCTGCGACGCTGAACTCGTTCCAGGGTTTGAATGTCATAGGTAGTTTTGGGGTGCCCACACTTGGCCACAGTAACCAAGCTGGCTTCTTACTAGGGTTAGATACAGGGTCTTTCGTACTTTAGGGTCACTTGCATGAAAACACGATCTTTTCACGCACTCCAACATTTTGTTGACCTTATTTGAGACAGCTTGGACATTAAGGCTCCATTTGAGATCGTTAGAGACTATAACACCAAGATCTTTTTATTTGTTGATTGTTTTAATTAAGTTGCCTTCCACGCGCTGTATAAGTAATGGGATTGGTTGAGAATTTCTTGTAATGCGAAGAAGACCACATTTAGAGTGATTTAAAGACATCTGCCACTCCTTGCACCAAGAGTCAATAGCATTTATGTCAGACTGCAAGACTTCGTCCCTTGCACCAAGAGTCAATAGCATTTATGTCAGACTGCAAGACTTCGTCGTCCTCAGAACATTTAATGGGATGGTAACATTTAGAGTTAAACAAAAGTTATTCCGAATAAGGAGTTTTTATAAATTGTGTGTTAATATTATGCACTCCTTATTCGGAATAACTTTTGTTTTATTTTTGCTGAAATTATCAGCCGGAAAAGGAACATTTAGAGTCATCCGCAAACATTGCCAATGATGAAAAAAAAAATTATCTAAATTGGAACTCTAATCTATATGCATTTAAAAGTGAACCTATAAAGTGCATCATATTTCATGAATATAGTGTCTTCAAAATTACTATGTAAACAAAACTGCACATCCGCCGAACGTACTTGACCGGCGATGACCGCCTCTTCGAAGAAAAATAATTAATTAAAGACAAAAAAACAACATAAATTATATATTTGAATATAAAACTAGAATTGTACAAAGATATATATTATAGTTAATCTATATACAATCTTGATAGTCCCAATAGTTTGAAAAATGTTCCAATCGAAAACTTTACATTACATATACTTCTGCACCATTGCAAATGACGCCATACTAGTATTATTCGCAACAAGCAGCACATGTTACAAAGCCAGTTGGTAACTATACATGTCAAAATATCTCAACAATTTGTTTCAGCACGACAATATTGTTACCAGTGAGCTATATATATCTGGAGTATGCAACCGCGCAGAGAAAATCAATAGATAGGGACTGGCACTACGCCAATTTCCACCATCTTTGGCTTCATTTTGTTGACGCGAGTTCTTAAGGTCCAGACACACCGGACGCGATTCGACAACGCGACGCGATTTTTTAGTTTTTGAAAGTTAATAAAACAGCCAATGAGAGAAAATTTTGAAAGATATGTACACCAAATAACTCAAAATGTTACGGCGCTTCTAAACATTTGGAAAATTCAAACTAGGATCAAAGTTATCGGTCAGTGAAAATCGAAAATCTCGTCGCGTTGTCGAATCGCGTCAAGTGTGTCTGGACCTTTACCGTCCAGATATAGATGGAGCTCACTGATTGTTACATGCATCATAGGCCGTAAATAGTAGTGCGTGTGCAACAGAAATTGTAAGAAGAATTCCTAGGGCTGGTAACGTGTAACAAAATGCCATTTTTAGTTCTATATAGTAAAAGTTCGCGCTCTATAAACTGAAACTACGACTCATTCCAATTAAAACCGTTTGAGAAACAACTTCTTTGATAACTGTAACGAAATCTGAAGTGTTACGGCAAGGCTGCAGACATATACTCCTTTCTATATGAGTGACTTGTTAGCAGAAAAGAATTCCGATATGACTTGGAAATCATTATCTGACATCTCCCGTCATAGTTCTTTAGAAGTGCAGTTATGTTGCTATCCACCCAAAATATCTACACAGGAACCATCACTGCACCATTTTGTTCCGGATTCTCGAAGAAATTGTGAACGAAATTTTGTATGCCACCACGTGCTTCTAAATGAAAGAAAATATATAAGGGTTACGTATTATACTCCACTCTTGGACACTGCGATATGCAGTGGTGCCTAAATTACTTTGAATTTGTAAAACGATTTGAGTAAGAGTAAAAAGTACCAGAGACAAAACGTACTTAAGTAAAAAGTACAAAATATCCTTAAAAAATACTTGAAGTAAAACGTAAAAGTACTATTGTCTGTGGTGTGTAGGGACTTGGAAAAGTCCCCCCTCCCTAGTAGGGAGGGGGGACTTTTCCAATGGATTGACATACAAAAGACACAAAACAGCACAAGCATTATATGCGTGCACCTAATATACAATATTTCACGGCATGGCCTACTTTCCAGACCTCGTTGAAGATATAAGAAATCCACTAAATAAATAATGCTTAAGTAAGCCACAAACGAGAGATTCCAGACACATGTAGAGGTCCTATTACCTATCCCAAAATTAAAATAAATCAGGAATAAATACGTAAAATTAAGCAAAAGTTAGAAAGTAACGAAAAACATTGCCACAAAATGAAAACAACAAAGTAAAACGTTACTTCTTAAAACGACTTCGTTCCAAGTACAAGTACTCCAGAAAAAGTTTACTTTGTTGCATGCTGACTTCTCAAAAATAGTACTCAAGTACAGTAACGAAGTACATTTACTTTGTTACTTGACAGCACTGTTGATATGTGGCATATGCCTTGATATGTGATACAATATTTCGAGAAAAGAATGCTACCTTCCAGTTTCTTCTCGGCATCTATCCTTGCAAGCCTCTCCTTTTCCAGCTCACTTTGCAACACCTCTGTGTTAAGAATCAAATTTAAAAAAGATGTGTTTTATAATATATAATAATTATAAAGATGAGATAAAAACATTTGCATATTGAATGCTTTAGAATGACATCTTATTACTAGCAATAGTGATGTCCCATAATTTAGTCAGAGGGTAAAGATGGGTCATGAGTGTGAGTTAATTAATTTTGAAGAATATCCGACGTCTTCTCTGTCCGAACTTTGGACACAGCAAATTAAATCGGTCCATGCATTTTCATCGCACGTCGTGCCACATGCAGTCTTTTCAGGTCACACGTGAAATTAATACCGACACCATCTCCGACATTATTTCAAAGACACATACCGTTTTGTTCCCTTAAGGAAGCATATGAAGACTCCTGCAATTCTCGGTTTAACGACAAGCATCGTTGTTCAGCAGCTGAAAACAGGATATGCCAATATCCTCAAATAAATTATGTCACCGGATGGTGGGGGTGGTGTTAAGTTATTATATATAGTATTACTATTAAATAGGGTACAATTAGAATTGTCTTTCAAATTCGTTGCTGTATGAAGGGGTCGTTTCTCACACATTGAGATGTTTATAAACAGTAGAGTTGCACAAATCTCTTCCAGCGCATCACAACCGACAGTGAACCAACCCAGTTGTTTTTTAGCATGCAGGCATATACGTTGCTTTTTAAAACATACCTTGATAATGATTATTGAGCCTGCGAGTTGTTTTCTTTAATCTGCGTATCTTTCTCTGTAAGATACCTATGTGGGAAAAATGTTTTTTTTAATCATGTTAACGCTACATTGTCAAAACAGGTGTTTCCTAATTGAAAGCATGAAGTTATGATTTTATTGTACAATTTATTAGATTGATTTACTTCATACATCTTTCCAATGCAGTTATTTGAATTTAGATTAACTTTTGGGGGATAGATCATAAACTAGACTAAATGGGTCAAATAGATAGTCTGCTTACTCTTATCTTTCTGTAAATCTGTGATCATCTTTGTCGCTTTTACTCGAGCTTCGTATTCTTTTTGGAATTCCTTCGCAAATTCATCTGCAGGATTAGATAAAATCCAGTCACCATTACCAACTCCTATCTATTTATACTTATAGTTATACAGAGTGTTTAGGATAACAAAGTCCTTATTAGTCGCTGGGGCCTGCAGGCCCAGGCGACTATAGGTTTCGCCTTTCTCTAATGCTGGATCTTGAATTATGGGTGGTTACAAATCGCCAAATGGCGATGAGCGCAAAATATAGCTGACGGCAAACCTTATTTATTATGCGAAGATCTAACGCTGAAGTTAAGGAGCGGTGCAGTTTTAAAACAAATAATAAAATATATAATTTTTGTGAATTGGATCTACGTTGACTGAATTCGAAGACTAACGAATACCAGAGAAGCTGTTTTGCTTCATAGAAGAAAAGATCAAATTAATACCAGGCGATGTGGATAAGTTAACATTTGCTATATGCTATGTTAAAAATTGGGTCACCGACCTTATTTTAATTCGAGTTATATCCGCCATGGACATTGAAACGTTATTGTTGCCATTAGCAATATGGCTGTTAGGAGTAAATTTTTAAAAACTCCGAACTCCTTAGTTATTGTTTTATTCAAGTCAGATACTCCTTGTTTTTCAACAAATAATTGTTGTCCAGAAATTCATGTCCACATCAGAAAATCGTCCATTTTCAAAAAAGTGTAGGCAGCCACCTTTAGCGAAGCTTGCCGTCGTATTCGTCTAAAGCGTTACGTGCGTATGAAGTGAAACGAAGTCGGGGTCAGAATTTTCGTGTATGCAGACTAGGAATTTTTTCTTAAAATTTTTAAAACTTCCCCCCCCCCCCCGATTTCTTTATGATGCATGGCGGAAGATCTTTTGAAAACATCTGTATGTTTGCCTAATTTGATGAACTTTGTCTTCGATATATCTTTGAGTCCCATTTTTGACAAAAACAATTTCATATAAAGACATAAACAAACAAAAGGCAGCAACCTTAATCTCAATCACAGCTTAATTGATATGCAATAGCCCCAGCGACTAACGCTCAATAGAGCATCTTGTTTGAAATATAAATTTATTCAACCCATTAACTAAAGTTTATATTAATTTGTAAGCTCTGCTATTCAGCTAGCCTGTATACAGACTGTATTACAGCATAATAAGTTTGTTGATAGGCCACTATTCAGTTTTCCAATTATAGTTCATCTTTTAATTAAAATTAAGATATGTATAGTCCATGAATAATGTTATTCGAAGTAATTGAGATTAGGAATTGGAAAGTCAATATTCAAGTTAATCTAAAATGAAAAAAATCCGGAAGTTCTGAAAATTGCAACGTAGCAAATCCATGGACCCCTTTCAATTCACATTTCAAATTTCTATACGTTGCTCGTTCATTTATAGTAACACTGGCAGCCGACAATGGCATATACATTACAAACCTTATTTTTTATATACTTTACAAACAAAGTGCTTCTTTTAAACAACACTTAAGAAGCAATGGTCAGTGAATTCACACAGGGGCGTAACTTGGGTCTAAACATTAGGGGATGAGGATACGTTTTCAATGATACGAGGTGTTGAGGCATGCTCCCCCAGAAAATTTTGAAATTTAGAGTCTCTGAAACGCCATTTCATGCACTTTGGGGGAAGATATTACAGAACTCTGATGAGAGAACGAGGTATATCAGATTAGCAATTTTGTTTTAAATTGCTCAAACTGGACGTTTAGGTTTTTATTTTCTTACTGAAGGTATTTTTGCCCAACAAATTATTGAGTATTTGGTAAATTTGCCCTACATTAGGGGGTGTCACGCCCTCAACCCCCCAGAATTTACGCCCCTGAATTCACATAAAACACGTTAAACACCCACACGAACTGTTGGCGTAAAAATGATGTAACATACAGCAGTTTGAACAACTATAGTACGGCGTACAATTGAGAACAACTGTGGTACGATACCTCTGTCAACCAGCATCTGTCGTTCCACCATTCGTACATTATCACTGGTTACTTTAAGTAGTCCCTGGATGTTTCCAAGCAACGTTTCTGCGGAAACAAAGACACAATGAAAGTTAAACAATTGTAGGATTCCAAAGAGGAATACTGAATTACTGCTTTCATAACCCTAAGAACGGTTTGAAATATCTAATATGAGTTCAATTAAAAACATGTATTATGAAATGGAAGAGCATTGTTTTCCTTGACAGGTGTTCCAAAAAATGACCCCCACTATATTTGATATTATTACAACATTGGCTTTAGAAGAAGTTTCAGATTTTTGTACGGGATAAAATAACTATCATATCGTTTTAATCCATTGCTATTTGACCAATCAACATAACCAACTGCTTGCGTTCAAGAATCACTTAAGGTGGCAACACCAACATTGTTACGGACGCTACTATAATTAATCTAATTATTTCGCGCCGTTTGTTGACATTAGCATAATTAATTTAGGGCCAGTCTTCGCGAGCGAGGCTTTTTGCAAAACTATTGATATTCGTGATAGATATACAAACGTAATCTGCTTTAAAATCGCCATAAGATGTAAGTATTTCT